GTGTGTGTGTGTGTGTGTGTGTGTGTGTGTGTGTGTGTGTGTGTGTGTGTGTGTGTGTGCGCGCGCGCGGGGGGGGCGGCAAAAACGCTAGAGCCGGCCTTGCCTCACAGCAGGTAGTGACATGCCGGGGTGTAAAGAGACAATTTTTTTTTTAAATCTATAATACAGAACTCCAAGGCAGTGAGCTTGTCTCATCCACTTGCAGCTCAAACAGCGACATACCCAAACCATAGCCACCTCCGTCTCCATCTGTTCCTGGCAGTATGGGGGGGGCTGATCCAAGGACATCTGATAACGGAGGAGTTGATGTGCAGCTGGAGGGTTGGAAAGGGTCAGAGACATTCCACAGGGCTGGAGGCAGGGAATCCACCACCTCAAGCCTGATCCCTTTTGAATCCAGAATCCCTTTTGCCAGAAGTTGGGAATGGGCGACAGGGGTGGATCACTTGATGATCACCTGTTCTGTTCATTCCCTCTGGGGCACCTGGCATTGGCCACTGTAGGAGGACAGGACACTGGGCTAGATGGACCTTTGGACTGACCCAGTATGGCCGTTCTTATGAATCCTGCCTCTGGGTTGGAGACAAAGCTGGGAGGAAGGCTGTACTTTCCTGGTTCAGCCATGGCTTGTGAGAACGGCTGATTTCTGTCAATAATGCTAACGAGGTTTACGTGAAATGGGTTCTAACAGGAATCTAATGGGATTTCAGTGATTTGGGATTTAAAAAAAATGGGGCCAGAAATGGAACGAAGACAGCTGATGAGGTCCTAACCCAGGGTGGCTCGGGTTGGAGTCTAGGTTCTGAAACCCACCCCGGGGCCTAAACTGAGCTCCATTCCAACAGCATCCATCCCCGGGCTGGCGGAGCGGGGTAGAGTGAATCTTAGGCTCACTTGGCAGGATCCTTTTGTTCAGACCCTTTTCCCGGGTTCCAGCTGAGATGTTTTGCCTGGATAAATGCCTACGGGCCTGTCAGTGCTTCCCCAGTGCAACTGCTGGCAGATAAGGAAGGGAATCCGGGAAGCTAGGCGCAGCAGTGAGAGTAATTGCACCAGGGGGAGCAGGGGAGATTTGCAGCTTGGTTACATGACAGGCAAAGAGCCTGCAGCAATGGAAGGAGGGAGGTTAGGCACTAAGCCCATCAGATCAGCAAGGAAAGCAAGAGGGGTGCAGTGTTCAAATCACACACAGCTGCTGGCGGTGAAAGGCCAGGGCCCAGGGGAGACAGCTGCTAGCCAGGGCAAACCGGCTTTCCTGAGATATGAATGCTGGGCTGTTCTCACTGATTACCGCATTCCCACCTGGGGCTGCCCTCGAGCAGGGTCTCAGAGCTGAGATCTCCCCATTCCATGCTGGGATGGGAACTTTACGAACCTCATGGTTATGGGGTTTCCAGGTCTTGGTCCCCAGTACTTAGAGAGGGGATTGGGATTCATGATACCTTGGTTCTATTCCCAGCTGTGGGAGGAGACGTTGATCGGCTGGTTGGGCTAGGAAGCTGGGCAACAGGACTCCTGGATTCTATGCCATCACTGACTCACTGTGTGGATCACTTCATTGCTCTGTGCCTCGGTTTCCCCATCTATAAAATAAGGCTGATAATACCAACCCACCACATGGGAGGCTCGCAAGGCCTAGAAAGCCAATATTTATAAAGTTCTTTGAGATCCTTGGATGAAAGATGCTCTAGAAGGGCAAAGTGTTACTAAAAAAGAGGGAGCAATCCTGCCTTTGGTCTCGGGAAGGCAGAGCTGGGTTCGGCACCAGCACACAGATCCCCGTGGGCGGGCGCTGATCCTAGGCAGAGTTCCCATAACCTAGTTCTTCCGCAGCTCAGTCCTGGCAAGGGAAGGTCAGAATATGGGGCCTGAGATTTTAGCGAGAACAGAGTCAGCACCAGGCCTTAAGCCCCCCCCGCGCCGCTGAACTTCGTGATGTTCTGGGTCTGGATCCAGATCCCAGCTCCGGTCCCTTCCTAGCTGCCCGTCCCCCAGGCTGGTCCTGCCGTGGAGGCCCCGCTGAGCTACAGTGAGGAAGAGGGGCTGGGATGGAGGCGTGTCTGCCCCACCGTCTCTCTGCCAGGCTGAACAGGCCCTAGGGAAGCTGCCGTCTTGCCCCGCCCAGCGAGGGAGCTAGGATGCGAGCATCCCCAGACACAGGCTCAGGCAGCCTCCGTGTTGCTAGGTAACCGGGCCAGAGGATTTTGCGATGCCAGTCACGCTGCTGAAGTTCCCACCCCTCCCTCAGGGCCGCGGCGCTGCCTGCGAAGGGGTCTCCTCATTCAGCGCTCTCCTCCGGGATGGTCAGGCAGGTACCAGGGCCAGATGCCAGGAGGGAGTCCCAGTTTGGGGCCGGCCAGGTCAGAGCCTGGAGTGGTGTGAGGAGGGGCTCAGATCCAGACCTGGCATTTTCCTTGCTGGGTGCTGCTGATTTGTGGGGAGGGTCCCCAGGGCAGGGGGGCGGAGGGGCAGCTGTGTGTGGATTGGGGCAAGAACAGGCTTTGGCCCACCATTGCGCCGCTCCCACCAGGTACCCTGCTTGTGCGCCCGCTACCTCCAGGTGTCATGCGCCGTGAGCAGCTCCCTGAGCAACCCTGCAGTCATCTGCACCAGCGGGTGCTTTGAAGGGGGCACCAGAGCAGCCAGTGCAAAGGATTCTGGGGGCCCTGTCTGGGAACTAACGGTACCCAGTAAACATGGCACTGCCAGGCCTTGCTGGAGGGGACAGCAGGGGGGCTGAAATGCCGCAGACAGAGAAGCTGGGCGGAGGATGGGCTGACGGCTGAGTGAACGTGGAGCCGGCTGAGAATGGACAAGCTCACTCCAGTTGCCGACTCCTCGGTGGGGGTCAGCGCTGGGATTTGCCGTGGAAATGGCCATCTGGCTGGTGTCTGTGGTCATGCAGAGACCTTGCTGTGCCGCGGTTCTTGTTTCCACGTGAGAGCTGGGGACAGTGGCCTCTGAAACCTTCGGCTCCAGCCCAGGTCGCAGGGGCGGCTCCAGGCACCAGCGCACCAAGTGCGTGCCTTGGGCAGCAAGCCAACGGGGGGGCGGCCTGCCAGTCACCGTGAGGGCGGCAGGCATGCCGCCGAAGGCAGCCTGACTCCCATGCTTGGGGCCGCAAAATACAGAGAGCCGCCCCTGCCAGGTGGGGACAGTGACTGTATAGGAATGGTGTAGCCTCCCTTTAAATAGCGTGTGAACCCTCTAGTGGTGCCCACCGTGTTCCATATCCGAGAAGCGCACGCCGCGAGGCCAGGCATGCCGGTGTCCCGTGAGCATGGCCACCTGGGCAAAGCTTCGCCTGTCTGGTTTCTCCAGATTATCCAGACACAACCGTGGCCAAGGGCTGCTCCCAGCTGAGGGCCATCCAGGGGTTCTCATGTGAAGTGAGTTTGGTGGTAGGTCTCCACCCACGCCCAGCCGGCCCTGGGCACTGACCCGCTCCGCGGAGGGACCAAGATCCCGTGGCCCAGGAGTGGGTCCTGGCAGCTGGGGGAGGTGTGCTGGGAACTCAGATCCGCTCGCTGCTGCCCAGGCCCACCAGCTGTGGGTGGGAGTGGATCTATCTCCGCAGGGCTGGGATTTCCAGCCGGTGTGGGTGCAGGGAAGGGAGGCCGATGTGTGCCAGGCAGCTAGCCAAGCCCCCCGCATGGCTTCCCCCACCGCCCCCTGGCCAGTCCCCTGATCTCCAGCTGCGAGATGCACGGGGTGGGGAGAAGGGGGGGGCGCACGATCGGCCCCGCCCTGCAAGCAGCTGCTTTGGGGGGCTGAGCCGCCCTCCCCTTAAGGGGGCAGGTATCAGCCCCCACCCGCAAAGCTGTATGGGGGGGGCGCTGATTGCAACCCC